ACCAAGAACACAGGAGTGGCGTAAGAGATCATTCCGATGGCAGACAGGCAGAGCAGCGTGGAGCGAGTCAGGGATTCCAGAGTCGGAGGAATGTGCTGTTAGCGGGATTTGGGAATAAAATGGATTTCAGCTCCAATGTAACATTGCTCACAAACATAGCATTCAAATTCTTCACTGTAAGAAATCCTTGACTCACTTCCTATAGTTCAGTATATTTATCCAATGGCATGCCATCAATTATTCATACACCTATTTATCTTGGCATTATATAAGTGGCATTATACTAGAATTCTTAGCTATCCATTGCTTATTTCATTGACTGAAAAATATGAAAGAAATATAAATATTTCCTTGTGTGTGTGTGTGTGTATATATATATATATGTCTTTTTATGGCTGCATAGCACTTAAAAATCTTATTTAGCTACCCTTCTACTAGAAGACAGTTGATTTTTTTAATAATTGGTGGTTTATTCTTTTGAATGATTTAATTTGATTGATTATCTTTTACATTTTGGATTTATCTTAAGATGTGGTTCGTCTTATACTGGGAAATGTATTTTTTGATCTTGGAAGTAACTGTGGAACTCACCTGGTCAATGATATTAGTATCAGCTGAAAAACGGTTGAGAATCAGTCCTAGAGGTGTGGTATCGAAGAACCTAAGCAAGGAACAGATTGAAGTGCACGGTAACATTAAACTGTCGGCAATCTGAGCACACCTAAGGCTCATCTCGAGTCACAGAAACAAGAGGTCTTCCCTGTCAATGTGCCCAAGGACTGAAGGAACATTTTAAACTCTCACAGTTTAGTTATATTTTAAAATACATGTTTTTATGATTTTGTGTGTGGGAGAAAAAAACAAACAAACTACTATTCCTACCTTATTGGTCCAAGAATGATCTTGTTGAGAAGATTGTGGTGGAGATTTTTGGCGGCTGTGAGACCCATCCATTCTACAGTGAGAGAGGTGACAAGACAAAGGAAAATACCTGCTCCACAGAGGATGCTGAATCCAGCCACATAGAAGGTCTACAGAGCAAACGACAGGAAAAGTTTGCAGTACATGAACAATGGTTTTTATTAGAAAACTGAACATCCTGTTAAGACAAGCTTATTGATATTCTTTTTTTTTTCTTCCCAGCCCCCCTCCACCCGCCCCTCCCCTCCCACGGCCCTTATTTTCTTATCCTGCATGCATTTGGATAGGAGGGAGCATGTGGCTTTGGAGACAAAGAGAAGAATCCCCATATGATCCCACAGGCCAGCTCTTGCCAGCCTCCAGCATTCCCCTTCACAATTTGCCCAGGAGATGAAGGACAAGGGATAAAGCTTGTTTTAAGGTTTGGGCAAATTTTTGATTTTTTACCTTATAGAATATATTCTCCCCTCACCCCCATCACAGAATGACCAGCTGATACGCTCATCATAGGGCATTAAAAATTAAACCCCAGCAGTGGGGTTTAATTAAACCTCCAAAAAGTGCTTGCATGCATGTGTAAAGCATATATAAGATTCATAAAAAAGTCTGGGTCTGGTGCTCTCCTGAATTCAAATAAAAATAGCATCTTTAAATGTTTCTTACAATAAACTTTCAAAATACAAGTAATAATAATAGATGTCATTTCTTATGTTACTGGCAGTTTGTACTTCTACTTATTGCTAAATTATTGAATCACCATCCTTGGATATTGGAGCTTGTATTACCTAACTAAATAAGATGGTGTCACTGTTCATCTAAGTAATTCCTTGATGAGTTAAAAACAGAACTTTAATATTCTCTTTTTCTTAATGTATTTAGTACAGGGCCTACAGGGTCTCACTACACAAATCAGATTCACAGTGATCCTCCTGTCTTCAGCCTCCCAAGCGCTGGGATTACAGGTGCGCACCACCACACCCACTCTCAATCACAGTCTCAGTGCGCCCCAGGGGTGGGGCCAGCACAGCACACTGGAGGATCAAATCCTGGCCCCTGCATCTATCTAAGCACATGCTTTAGTCCATTGAGCTATCTGGCTGGCCCTTAAAAACAGAACTTTAACCATGGTACCTGGTCAGTTTTTCCAGTACTGTTTATACTGTACTCTGATGTCCACGTGGCCAGCCAATAGTCTATGGCTACAATAACTGAGTGTTTCAAAAGCTTAGAGAAAATCATCAGGAAGAGCAAGAAGAATCCTCCAGAAGTAAGGTACCACCAACAGGTTTTCCACGGCATTTTAGTTCTGAGCCTCATTACGGTTGACATGTTATCATCTTCATCTTCTTCTTCCTCCTCCTCTGTACACACCCCCAAAACAAACAAAGAAGCAAACATCTGTTTAAGCTTCCGAGGAGCATGAGAAAGATATAATTTTTATTATCACACAAAAAATGCATAAAGCCACCTTCAATTTCATAGAAATATAACTTTTAATCGAAATGCTGTTAGCATGGCAAAACTTGTGGATTATTTTAAATAAGAAAAGAATGAATGACTGAATGCATGAATGAATGAATGAATGAATGAATGAATGAATGAATGGTGAAACAAACATAAAATCTGTCTTGATGATACCATTTGCTGAGTCCCAGCTCAAACTGACTGAACATATGGACCAGAAACGTATTCATGAAGTTATTGAAGGAACTGTGAATAAAACTGTGTCAATGGTCTGAAAACTTCTATAATGTTTGACATATAATTTATGAAGTTATAAAACTAAATCAGGAGAAAATAGTCTCTGGACTTGGGCAAAGATGCCAAAAGATTAAGCCATAGTGTCTATTGCCCATTTTAGATGTAGTCAGGTGAAAGCAAGCAGGGAGGAACTTTGCAGAAGGTAAAGCCAGGTTCTATGGCTGACAGTGGGCAGAGAGTTCTCAAGTGTGTTAGCCGTACATCATTTCCAAGGTAGGTGATCCTAAGAAAGTCCTCCACAGCTGGAGCAGCAATCTCATTAGAGCAGCTCAGAGACCACGATACGTTTCCTTCCCTCTTACACTCACCTCACGTAGATCACACTCGTCTAGGGACCAGGTGTGGAGAGACATGTACCTTATCTTTTACTCACAGGGGAGCAGAAAAGAGAGATGCACACAGGTGAGGATGGGAGGCTGAGCATTGCCAGGGGTCCAGATGTCTCGGCTGTGCACAATAAATGCCTAGACACTGCCTGGCTCCTGTGGTAGGAGGGCACTCTCTGTGTGAGGACAGGAATATCAATGTGTGTAACCCAAAAGTTGGGCCTTGTAAGCTGCTAGCTGTCTCTCCAATTGCCATTCTCTGCTTCTGTATTAAGCGTCTCAAGGCAGCACAGCTAATGACAGTGTCTCTGCATACACTTTCCCAGTATTAATATGTTCAGGGAGTGAACTGGCTGACAGTATTTGTTTGTTTCAGAATGAGGGATTGAACTCAGACCTTTGCATTTGCCAGAGAAGTACTTAGTCTACTTAGCCGCCTCCCCGGCCCTAGTATTCATCATGGTTTTTTTTTTTTTTTTTTTTTTTCGGAACCTGGGATTGAACTCAGGCCCTTGCACTTGCCAAGGAAGCACTTATTCCACTGAGCCATCTCCCCAGCCCCAAACTGGCTAACAGTAAATAGAAACAACATGTGCAGTCTCAAGTTCCTCAATGAAAAGTAGGTCCCTATTCTTTCCCATTGCCCTCTCCTGGAGGCTTAAAGCAGATGCAGCGATAGGACCTGGAGCAGGGTTCTAGCAAGGAGGACATACGGTAATGTGCTCTTTATCTCAATGAAATATTATCATGGTGTGCACCTGTGGAAATGGAAATCAGGGAGTGTATCAGTCTCTCTAGTGACACAGTAACTGCAGGAGTCCTAGACAAAATGATTGGGTACAACTCCATTTTGAGAATACATAAAATGAATTGGTTTAGAATGCTAGAAGCTCATGACCTGCAGAACGAAAAATATTTAAAACCCTTTTTCAGTCTTAGAGATTGAAATGCAAAGCATATCATTCATTGGTTTACTCATTCATTCAGTCTACGATCATTTTTTGAAACACTGAATAGTTACTCTCCGAAAGGTAGCATATCTTAATGTTTGAGAAGCCTCACATAAGGGAACTTCAAATCAGGTATTTCATTTGTAAATTGGCTCCTAGAGCTACAATCATAGACAAGTATGTCGTAAGAATTGAAATACCTACTGCATTCATCCCATGATTTTAATGTTATTTTTTTTTCACTTTTATGTATTTGGTACAGGGTCTCACTATGCAGATCAGACTCCTAGTGATCCTCCTGTTTTC